GCACTGTGGGCTGGCTCCTGCGCGGATGGGAAGCAGAGGGACGGAGCAAAGCCGGGCCTTGGGGTACTTCATTATTGAGCCGAGCCAGTTATTGCCAGCAGCTAAACAAACTAATAGGAAGGATATTTCCCTGGAGAGGGAGGAGGATTCTGATTTAGACTGCGCTGGTTAAGCCTAGAATCTCACCACAGCTACAGTTTCCTTCCGAGGGCAATAATTATCGCAGCGCAAAGCCCAGGCTTGTGTTTGCTTTTCTGCTCCTGGTGTGGAAGATTTCGGTGTAGAGGCTGTGATTTCTTCCAGCACACAGCCTAGCTCCCCCTGCACCCAGGCCACATCCTGCACCCCTTGTCCAGCACCAGGGGAGGCAAAGAAAAGCTCTGTTTTCTGCAGAGAGCACCCTCAGGTACTAAATTTAATCCTCAGAGCCCAGTGTTGATCCCACAGGGGCTCCACTCTGGCCCTCCACAAGCTGCAGGCCCAAAGGCAGCACTGCCACTGCCAGCCCCAGGCCTCCTCCAAGGGCTCGTGGATGAAAATTGCTTTAAAAGCTCCAGGAGAAGCCGTTTAGTTCTTCTAAGTGATGGGAATGGAAAAGAAATCAGAAAAAGGAATGGGAATGCTTTTGTTCTCCGCTGCCAGGTAAACGAGGTTTGGCTTTGGAAAATGTATAGGGCCTCTAGAGCTAACTGCGGAGCTGGAGTCTCCAAGGAGTGATTTCTTCCTTCAGAAACATAATAATAACAATAAATGATTAAAAAGGAAAAGGCCTAGATCTGTATCTACAGTTAACTCAGGACTCCTTTGGAGTTCAGGACTGCTGCTGGATAAATAAATGCTTATTCAAAAAAGGCACCTCCGGTCTTCCGCAAACGAGAGGCAGCAAAGCAGCGCTAGGGGCGAGCCCACACACGTGCAGTGTGAAAACCCTCCAGATTGGGCTATTCCAGATTTATCCCACGCAGGGGGGACACCAGTCCTGGCTTCGTGCCCACCCGCTCCCGTTGCAGCCCCCTCTGCCATCCACACTGCTGGTTAAGTGCAGAGGGTCAGGCTGGGACCCACCCTGGGAGAGGTTTTCCTC